ATAAGATTGGTTTCATAGATGGATCAATTCCATCTCCAGGTGTAGGTAACCCTAATTACAGTACGTGGGATGCTTTCAATACTTTAGTCCTGTGCTGGATTCTGAATTCTGTTGATAAGGAGATCAGAAGAAGTGTTATGCAACATGATGTAGCTCACACTTTGTGAGAAGAGCTCAAGGCTCGTTTTGGTTATGCAAATGCTATTAAGTTATCAAATCTGGGAGACCAGATCATTGCTTGCAAACAAGGGAATCTGAATGTTACCCAGTATTATACTGCTTTGAAGGGTCTGTGGGAAGAACACCTACAATTTAACCCTATTGTTGACTGCAATTGTGCCCCTCAAAGAACTCAACCATGTGCTGCAGTTGAAGCATTTAAGCAGAAACAAGATGTTGACTATCTTATCATATTTCTCAAGGGCCTCATGCCAGAATTTGATGTGGTCCATACTCAGATTTTGATGATGAAGCCTCTTCCTACAGTGGAGGTAGCTATTAATGATGTGTTACAGCATGAACAAAAGCTGAAGGCTGACAAGAGCACTACCAGAGGAGTTCAAACTGTTGCCCTGGCAGTTCAGGGAGATGGTCAAGAAGGGAAAAAGTCATGTTGATACTGTAAGAAGGAGAATCACACTAAGGAGGAGAAACTAAGAATGGCTAGAGGAGTTGCAGCTGGTGTGTCTCAAGGAGAATCATCTGTTGCTAGTGACTCAGCAAGTTCAGATACTAAGATCTAGGGGTGATAGTCGGTTCAGTTACGGTTTAACCGAACCGACAGGTCGGTTAACCGCAGCCGATTACATGCCAAAACTCCCAACCGAAGCCGACGCCGATACACATGGTCGGTTATCCGACACCAAAACCGCAATCGTAGGTGCGGTTAGTCCTCAAACCGTGAAACCGCAAAAGTTAATAAAATTGTCAATTTTGGGGGATTGGGGACCTATTATTATTCCTCTCCCATCTTCATCAAATCCTTCTCTCTCCCCCCTCCGATCTGCCTTCCCCAAATCCCTCTCTCGCTCTCTCTCTCTCTCCCTCCTCCTCCTCTCTCGCTGACCATCTAAATCCCCTCAATCTACCATCTGGAAGGCAGGGAGACAACTAACGGCGACCTAGGAAGGGGAAGAAGGGCATGGCAGCGGCGAATCTAGAGCCGGCGGCAGAGGACGAAGAGAAAAAGCCGCCAAAGGTTGGAGGTTTAGAATCTTTCCAGTTCTCGTCCACCTCCAAGGCTGAAGAAGGCAGGGACGACGGCGACCTGCACTCAATCTTCACGGGAATCGACCCTCTTTTCCTTCATTTGATGGGTATCGACTGTCGCCGCCTTCTAATCGGCGGAGGCTACAACTTCGGCGGAGAATGAATGTGTAGTGGTGCATGTCTGGTTGGGGTGCCGAGGTTGGGATTGGGGAGATTGGGACGACGATGTCGAGATTGAAGGACGAAGTGGGGAGGCCAGATCTGGTAGAGGTCGAGAAGCTTTTAGATGGGGCGGAGCAGAGGGTGTTTTTAGCCTTCTATTTCATTCGACGGTTACTTATCGGTGCACCGAGTTTTCTCGGTTAGCCACCGTCGGTTTTCGGTTATGGATATTGCCTGAAAATGACAACCGACGCCAACACCAAACACAAATAATCGGTTTTGGTTAAACCGACTAGCCGCGAATTTCGGTTCGGTTTTCGATTTTACCGAATAACCGGAGACTGATTAACACCCCTACTAAGATCAACTCAGAGTCCAGAAGCAACTCTTCAAAGGAACATTTGAGTTTTTCACCTGAGGAATTGAACAAGCTGAGGTTCCTGTTGCTGTCTGTTCCCTCTCCTAGTCCTTCACCTCCAGCTTCACCATCAGTCAACCACTTGGCTTTCTCAGTTGCTCACAGCATTTCTCAGTTCCCTAATCATGCTGGTAAGTTCATTTTATCTTCTTACATGAATCATAAGGCAACTTCTCTGGCTCACACTTGGATACTGGATACTGGGGCATCAGATCACATTGCTTGTACTCTTGATCTGTTTGCTGAAGCTTTACCAGTTAAGGATCAGTTTGTCTACTTGCCTAATGGGACTAAAGTGGTAGTTAGTCACATAGGAAAGGTTCAGATTTCTCCTGACCTAGCCTTAGACAATGTTCTCCATGTGCCAAGTTTTACTTTCAATCTCTTATCAGTTAGTAAATTGACTCATGAACAGCCTATATCCTTACACTTTGAGTCTGATTCTTGTCAAATCCAGGACCTGATGACTCAGAGAAGGACTGGTTTGGCAAGACAGAGTAGAAGGTTGTATCAACTGGACACCAAGGCCAAAACACCTCTTCTTAACACACCCAAGTTGCTCTTACGTACAACTTCCAACCTCAAAACATTCACCTCTGGCACTGGAGACTAGGACACCCCAGCAAAGACAAAGAGAAACAAACTTTACCTTGTAATAGAGAGTTAGTTTCCCATTGTCAAATCTGTCATTTTGCCAAACACAAGAGGCTTTCATTTCCTGTCAGTACAAGTAGAGCACATGATGCGTTTTCTTTGATTCATGTGGACATCTGGGGTCCTTTGGCTGTTAAGTCTCATGAAGGTTACTCATACTTTTTGACCGTGGTGGATGATTTCACAAGAGTTGTGTGGATTTTCCTTATGAAATATAAATTTGAAGCTAGTTCTTTATTACAATCATTCTGTTCCATGGTTGAGAGACAGTTCTCTAAGGCTGTCAAAATTATTAGAAGCGATCAGGGTGTTGAATTCCACATGGTGGACTTTTATAGTAGTCATGGAATTGAACATCAACAGTCCTGTGTGGAGACACTAGAACAAAATGCTCGCGTGGAACGCAAGCATCAGCATATCTTGAATGTGGCAAGGTCACTTAGATTCCAATCAAGAATTCCCCTCAAATTCTGGAGTGATTGTATTCTCCATGCTGTTTACTTGATAAACAGGTTACCTAGTTCAGTAGTGGACAACAAATCCCCTTATGAACTTTTATACAACAAAGCTCCCAACCTGAGTCATTTAAGAGTTTTTGGATCCTTATGCTATGCTGCAACATTACATCGAGACAGAACAAAATTTGATTCTAGGGCCATGCAGTGTATTTTTCTTGGCTTTCCAGCATGTATTAAAGGATTCAAGCTCTTTGACATTAACTCACACTCTTTCCTTATTTCCATAGATGTGAAGTTTTATGAATCTATTCTTCCTTTCCATTCTCCTTCTACTTCTTCCCCTACTGATACTACACAATTCCTACCACCAGAACCCATCATTCCAACTTTCTCTTCTATTCCACCAACTTCACATGTTCCTCCACAGCCTCCTAAACTTCCTTCTGTTAAAACCCTATTGGCAAAGATTAATTCTGTTAAAACCCTCTTGGCAGTTGCAGCATCCAAGGATTGGACACATCCATCTGGTGGATGTGTCCAATGCTTTCCTCCATGGAGACTTAGATGAAGAAGTCTACTTAGAGGTACCTCCTGGTGTTGATGTACCTAAGGATTCAGGCCTAGTTATCAAATTAAAGAAATAACTTTACGGCTTAAAGCAAGCCAGCAGACAGTGGTTTGCAAAACTTACAAGTGCCTTGCTGAAGAATGGTTACTCTCAAACAACTTCTGATTATTCAATGTTTGTGAGATGGATTCAGGGAAGATTTGTTGTGGTTCTTGTGTATGTAGATGACATCCTAATTGCAGGTAGTTATCTGGGAGACATAGAACAGTTGAAGTTATTCCTAACTCCTAAGTAAGGAATTCAAAGTTAAAGACCTTGGTTAGATGAGCTATTTTCTAGGACTGCAAGTAATCAGAGACCACAAAGGCATCTCAGTCAGTCAGAGAAAATATGGCTTAGAACTACTTGATGATACAGGTTTTGTTAAATTGTCAGTTAATCAAGGAGAGTTGATGGCAGACCCTGGTGTCTATAGAAGACTGATAGGGAGACTGCATTATCTTACCATAACCAGGCCAGATGTGGCATATGCTGTACAACAGCTTGCACAATTCCAGACTGCTCCCTGTGTGGAGCATCTTCAAGCAGCACACAGGGTGATAAGGTATTTGAAGCATACCATTGGACAAGGGCTGCTGTTCAGGGCATATTCTAAACTGGAACTCTCAGGGTACTGTGATGCAGACTGGGCCAGCTGCCCTGATTCCAGAAGATCTCTCACTGGTTATTGTACCTTTATGGGAACTTCTTTAATCACCTGGAAGACGAAGAAACAGACCACAGTCTCCAGGTCATCCTCAGAAGCAGAATACAGAGCTCTGGCTCAAGTGGTTTGTGAGGTTCAATGGCTGAGAAATCTTCTCACAAAGATGGGGATCAAGGTACCTCTCCCAATACCTTTGTTTTGTGACAACAAATCTACTATGCATATTGCTGAAAATCCGATTTCCATGAGAGAACGAAGAACATTGAGATTGATTGTCATGTTACAAGGGAAAGATTGAAATCAGGTCTGATTAAGTTGTTCCATGTGAGAACTGATGACCAAGTTGCAGATTTATTTTCAAAGGGAATGACTCGCTATAGACTCAAGTTTCTATTGGACAAGCTGGGTGTATGCAATGCCTACTCGCCAGCTTGTGGGGGAGTATCAAACGAGTATGATGATGAAGAAGAAGAAGCTCTGCAGAAGTGAAGAACAAAGAGCAGAGTTGAGAAAGAAGAAACCTCACCCAGAAACGTTTCGTTTCTGGGGTCCCTCCACTCAGCTTTTAAATGAAGAAGCAAAGCGACGACGTAGTCGAGCTTCAGAGTTTTACCGTTGGGTGGACTTACCGTGGCAAACGAAAGATGGACATGTGCTGTTTTACCATTTAGCATTTTCGAATTTCTGTTTTGTATTTCCGTTTTTACTGTTTAGTGAAGAACACATTTCAGCTTTGGTATAAATAGAAAACGTAGGAGATCCCTTGCTCCTTGCGCATTTCCCCATTCTTGTGTCGTCGTCTTCTTCCGCTAACCCTAGCCTGAGCTAGTTTGATACAGCGACTGCCTTTGCCTTCTCCTGTCGCCCCAACACGTTGTTTGACAATATTGATTCCTGAGTCGCCTTCTGCGAAACCTCTGGTGATTTTGATTCCATCAATCCCACTTGAGGCCGCGACAAAACTTGTTGGAGAAGAGCCTTGAGTTCTCCAAGTTCGGCCGTCACTGAGGCATAATTAGCCGTGAGCTTTGTCAGTTCATCGCCAACAAAAGTAAATCGACCATCAACCCCTTCCAATTTGGTGGTGTTAGCCGCTTGTTGTTCTTCCAATCGAAGCAGCCGCCTCTCTGCGTTCGTGTAATGTTTCTCTGTCTTCTCGCCCGCTTTCTTGGCCACAGTTCTGATATCAACCATCATAATCGAATCGCGGATCAACCCCGCTCTGATACCAATTGGTAGATATCTAATCTATTTCTATGATAAACTACAAAGAAAACTAATAACTTTAGGGTTTATTCTTCACATAATCGGCCGAATGACATAACAAGGGTTTATATAGATATCTAACCCTAATCGACTACTGGCAATAACGTAAATAACAATAATTAGATAAATATGATAATAGCGTATATGCATATACGCAACAGAGAGCAAAGAATTTTATTTCCTTGAAATTTTCCACAAGTGCAAAATCCCGCCCGATTGTCGTCGTCGAAGTGCACTGTGAGTGTGTTCGAACCCGTCATGTTGAAACTGTTGGGAGGAGTCTGAACTACATAGATGCCCTGACGTCGATCAACCCCTGTCACGGAATGTCCAACTGCCTTTTGTGCCCACAGCTTCATCAGTTTTTTCGCACGGTTTGGTGTACTGTGACTGCTCACTTCTGATTTGTGCTTATGTCTCCAACATCATCTTATCGAATTTCTCCAATAATCGCCAATAAGTATGTTGCACAAGAGAAATTATAGTAAGTGAACGAATACCTTTGAAAACACCATTGATGCTCTTTGCCATGTTGGATGTCAGGATAGACCATCGACGCCCACCATTATAGTTATCATGTGCTAAACTCCAGCGAATTTGATTTTGGTCCACCCAGTTATCACATGAAATATTCCTATCAACGACTATCCGAGATTATGCAGATATCATTTCGATCGGTCAAACCTTGAACATGACTTATGGACCATGGACAACTATCAGTATTCTCGCTCTCCACTATGGCAAATACAATTGGAAAATCTTCTTCCGGCCATCAAATGAGCTCGACATGAGTAGCACTCCTATACTTTCCACTAAGAAATGTTCCATCAACAACCATGACTCCTAGACAATTCTTGAATCCATCTATACAAGGTCCATAAGCCTAGAATACTGGCTGAAAGATCAAATGATCTGGTTGCGATGAAGGAACTCTTACCCAATCAATCACTGATGTTGACATTTTTCTCTTTACCACCCGCAAGAATGTTTGCAAATAATCATAGGATCTTCCCAATTTTCATGCAACTTCTCCAATGCTCTTTGTTTCCCATACCAAGCCTTCTGGTAAGTAACTTGCATATTAAACTTATCTTTCAACTCAGTCTGCACAGTTAGAACACTCAGATTTGGTTGGGCATGTACCAAATGTTTCACGGACTCAGATATAACGTCGACATCAAGATGGCGATGATCCGTCGGTTGAGTCGTACTGCTACCAGAATGCACCAACTCGGTCTTTCTCACAGTCCATTCACTTCCAACATCTCGACATCCAAACCGGACAGTCCAAGGACAATTGTCATCCTTGTGCTTCAAGCATCTGACATTCCAGATTGAAGGTGACGACTCCAGCACGCCATACTGAAAGTTGCGTTGTAGTGCATGATATTTAATCGCCACCTGTGCAGCTTGTTTCGAGTGAAATATCTGCCCCTTGTAGAATTCTCCTTCAAAACCAACAATAATAGAAATTGGAATTACGCCATATGAGTCAGCATATGATAATTCGCCGTCCTCTTCATTACCCTGCATGTAAAAATATGGAGGATAATTAGGCTGCTCTCCTTCCCCATCTTCCTCCTCCTCCTCCTCTCCGTCATCATGATCGGATGGCACGCTCCATGTCTCATCTTCTTCCTCTCCACCCCGATCCTCACTGAGCTCAGCATGTATCTCAGCACCCAAACAATAAGGGTGATGTGCCATAAAATCGAAAAACATATTCAAGCTATCATCGGCCACAATAGGCATCACATAATGAAATAAAACACCAATCTGCCATTCTGGAAGACAGTAAGTGAAATCTGTGATCACATCACTATATTTTACTGCTTTGTCTTTACGCCATATTCTCGGATTTAGATTCCCTTAAAGTTTTTGATATGTCACCCTGGATGGAACCATCAACTGAAAACTTCTACCACCAACGAAATGGACTCCAAAATTGTCCTCTACTTTTTTTTATTTCCACCGAACGACTAGTTCAAATCTTCTAAAATCACTACATAAAAAAACAAACTCACTAATTACTAATTAAACAAAATCATAATAGCATTTGAAGAATATTAGTAAAAAAATAAATGTGTCTCTTACCTATTAGCCATCTTTGCAACAACCAGGGCTTCTCTCGTCTAACTTCGTCGATTGTTTTGGTGGTGATCAACTGAAAGGAAATTCGCTGGTTATATGGTGCTGGAGTGGGTGGGTAAGCCAGCGAACCCGCCTAAATCTCGGGCGCCGCCGCTGGTCAACGATTTTGGACATTCAAAAACAAAACAAAAAAAATGACGCAAACGCCGCAGCCTCGGGCGCCCACGCTCAAATTGATTAAAAAAAAAACAAAATAGCGGCAACGTCTGAGTCTAGGACAGTCTCGCCAATTTTGCTCTCCAAAATACAATATTTGTGTAAATAGTTTTTAAATGGCCCTGGTAAAATAAAAAAAATAATATTAGTAGAATTAATGACGTCAAATAACCTCAATTAAGAAAAAAACAAAATATGTTATGCGTGGCCTTTATCCTCGTCTCCCTTCTCCAGGTAGAGTCCGCCTTTCATTGTCAATTTTGGCGGTTGCCATCCCTTCCCTTCCCTTCCACCCGAAACTGACCGAATCAGACTCTCCATCTCCATCCCTCTGACTCTCTCTATTTCTCATCACTCCGACTTGTCCTTAACTCTGTAACGAACTAAAATGGCGCATCTACCTCCTAATGGCTGATCATCTCCCCTCCCCTCCCCTCCTCCCAATATCGTCACTAAAATCCACCATTAATCATATTCCTAATCGTAATTAGTAAGTACTCTCCATATTAATCCCACACCGCCGCCACCACCACCACCGCTAACGCCTTCCCTTCTTCTCTTCCCCGCGTTAACCCGAAGCACCCACCTCCAAATTCTGCAAACCCTCGAAGCGAAAAAAAAATGGACAACAAAGAGCCGCTCCTCACGTTCGTGGCTCCGAGCCCAAGACCCCGCTGGCCGCCTCCGCCGCTCTCCCTCTGCCCTCTCCGGGAGAACGACGAGTTCTCCTTGCCCATCCCCATGACCCCTTCCCAGCTCAAGGACCACCTCATTTTCGGCCCTTTCACCCCTACCCCTAGGGAATCGTCTTCCTCCGTCGTCGACGCGCTCACTCTCTCCCCGAGCCCTCGTTTCCCCGCCGCCGGTACCTCCACCTTTTCTAACCTCGACCGCGGCGGCGGCGGCGGAGGAGGAGGAGGAGGAGGAGGAAGCTCGGTCGTCCCGGACGCACAGTCATGGCTGATTGATCCCAATTACAAGATACCCAAGAGCAATCTCCACCGCTGCAAGACGGCTCCCGCCATGGCGGCAATCAACGAGATCAGCCACCACCCTGCCGATCCCAGCCCTCAATTGGGTCCCAATTCCGTCGTCCGTCAGGCCTTCGTCCTCCTGGTAATCTATTTAACATTCGGGGTTTTGATTTATTGGGGTTTCCGCGAGGATTTCAGCGTTAGCGAGACCCACCCTGTGGTCGATGCTCTGTATTTCTGCATTGTCACCATGTGTACGATTGGGTATGGCGATATTACACCGAACAGTACTGCGACCAAATTGTTCTCGGTTCTGTTTGTGCTGGTGGGGTTTGGGTTCATCGACATTTTGCTTTCTGGGATGGTCAGCTACGTGCTTGATTTGCAAGAGAGTTACCTGTTGAGGAATGCTCAGAGGGTTGGGAGGAGGGAAACTGCGGGTAGGTACATTATTGATGTGAAGAAGGGGAGGATGAGGATAAGAATGAAGGTGGGGTTGGCTTTGGGCGTTGTTATTCTCTGCATCGGCGTTGGGGTTACTGTGATGCATTTCATCGAGCGGCTTGGATGGATCGATTCGTTGTACCTCTCGGTGATGTCTGTCACCACGGTTGGGTATGGAGACAGGGCTTTCGGATCGATGCAAGGTCGAATCTTTGCCTCGATCTGGTTGCTCGTGTCCACTTTGGCCGTGGCGAGGGCTTTCTTGTACTTGGCTGAGGCTAGAGTTGATAAGAGGCAGAGGAGGATGACGAAGTGGGTTCTTGGCCATGATATGACTGTCTCGGAGTTTCTCGCTGCTGATATCGACCACAACGGTCATGTGAGGTATGAATTTGTGTTGAATGTTGAATATAGTTGTTCAGAATTTGTCATGTTAGGGACGAAACTGTGCCAGTGTGGTATGCCTTGATGAAGAGAACGAACCGTTTGTGTTTGCTTGAGCTTGTGTTTAAAGAATTAGTGGGTTCATGGTGAATAGTAGCTCAAAGGTTTTAGATCCAACTTTTAAGTTCTCTTTATCTAAAGCAACTTTGCTTTTATATGAAACAAACGCGTCTCATCCGTGTCTGGTTTTATGGTTTGATCTGAGGTAGTCTCCATTAATCTTTGTTTCTGTGCTGCTTTAACTTGTTCTTTTTTTTTGGGTAGAAACTGCTTTTAACTTGTTGAAGTACATCATACAGAACATAAATATTCCGCCAACACTTGCTCCTGATATTTGTCCCTTATGCTGATGTTGTCAATGTGATTGATGTGCCTCATACATAATTAGGGAATGCTGTTCATAATCACGAAATCTTACGATGAGGCTTTATGCAGAATTCATTCTGATCGTCTTTCATGGCTATTTATCTGCTGCTGATGCATGTAGTTTCTGTCACAAATTTCATTGGGGAGCTTTATCTTTGGTGGGAACCTGCCTGGCTTGCTTTATTGAGAAACTCTTGCATGCTTCTATCTTCAAAGCTCCCAACTTCTTTGTTTTATTTACTGGACACTTATTAAACTTCATTGTGGAATCCTGTTTCTTGCAGCAAATCAGAATACGTGATATACAAGCTAAAGGAGATGGGGAAGGTAACAGAGAAAGATGTTCTGCAGATATGCCAGAACTTTGATCGGATAGACACTGGGAACTTGGGGAAAATTACACTCAATGATCTGATCACCGGTTAACCCTAAACAGCGAGAGGCACCTACCCTCGAACGAGTATCTGTCCACCAATGGCACGGCAGGATCAGTCTCGCAAAGATCATACGATAGAGGATCAAGTTTTTTTTTTTCTCTCTCTTTTTCGAACTTGCATGGACCTGCCACTGGTTTCTCCTTCTCCAGCAGCAGCATCTGACTGCCCGAAATCCAATCCGCAACTGTCTACTACCTCATTTACCGGACAGGAGAAGGATTTCTGCCTCAACTGGTGGCCGATTGGAATGTAAATGAATGCTAATGTTTTTGGTTGGCTATGTGCAGTTAGTTATAAAGGTAGGATAAAACAGGTACCTAGATCAATATGTATACGGTAGGATAGTTGTTCCCAAGGTCGGGAATTTTGGTCAGTTTGTGCAATATTCTTTGGTTGGTTTCCCTTCTCTCAGGACCATCATCGATAAAACGATGATGATGGAAATAATACCCATGAAGTCGATGCCCCATACATCAAATGGGCTTAGGTTTCGTTTTAGAAAGAAAAGATTGGTTTTGATCAAATGGTCCATAATAAATAGGTTAAAAAAAGAAAATCAAGACTTTTTACCGTTAATTAGTTTTTTTTAGACAATAAGAGCGAATTTTCATCCGACGGTAAAGAGATCGTTTTTCAAGCTCACATAAATCTTCAATAACCATATCCTTTTGTTTCTACTCTTAGTTTCAAAAATTGGTTTGTATGAAATAATTCAATTCAAATTCAGTGTCATCATGTGTAATACTCTTTTTTTTTTTAGCAAGATTCATGTCCTTTAAAAGCATCTTTAGTCGTTGTAAGAATAATTTTGCGTCTTTAGAATAATTTCTCATGAAACCTTCAAATTTCAGCCTTTAATTTTGTGATTAAAAAAATCTGAATATCATTTTTGAAATTGTATATGAACATGACTGTTTGATGCGATTTGTGCTCAGTGCTCACAAATTTAAGTAGGAAGTAACCTATAAAAAATAATAAAGACGAGACAACGAAGAAATAGTACTTGGTAGGGCTGTGATTCGGATTCCCGGTTAACGGTTTAACCGGTAACTGTACCGGTAACCGCAATTACCGGTTAAACCGTTAACCGGGTGGTAACGGTTGTCGGAATGGGAATTTGGGACGGCGGTATACCGACACCCGGAAGCTAGCTAACCGACGGAAAGCCGGTTTTCCGATACCGGAATTGCAGGACGCAGTGCGACGATAGTATTCTCTTATTTACAAACTTGCAATTGGTTCTCTATTAGGAAAATGAATTAGTAATTACAGATTAATAATTCCCCTCCCCTCTCTCGCATTCTTGCTCTCTGCCTGCCTAACCCAGCCGCCAACCCTCACGATCACGAATCTCGCCGCCCAATTGGAACCCCAATCGAGACACCGGCGCACTCAGATGGACGAACCGCAACATAGCAGCCCACTCCAGCACCGCAACCTCTCTGTCGAACCCGCGCGAGTCCTCTCCGTCGACCCCAGTGCTCGACCGCATCGCCGACACCGGTGCGGCATCCCCGTCAGTTTCCGTTGACGGTGCACTCTCCGTCAGTTTCAGGTTTGTTGTCATGTTCCCTCGCTGCAGCAACTATTGCTGTTTGTTGGTTTTTTACTTTGTTTGTTTAATTTAATTACACTGTCGGTGCGCGCAGCTTCCCCGCCGCAGAAGCTATTTTCAAGTTTTGAATGGAACAACTTAACCTGGACCTGGACGCGTTGTTGTGAAGAAGAAGACAATGTTTTTCATCATCTGGTGACTTCCATAGTTCCATTAACTCATTGACCATTGGATATTAAGTTAATAATCGGGTCCCCACTCAATTCCCCACCATTTGTCATCATTACCATTCACATGTCCGGCTGTCCCCAGTGCCCAGGCTATTCTCATTTGGCAATCGGGGTACCGAAATAAACCGCCACCGAAAGGATTCGGTAATTGGTATACCGACGCCAATACGGTATCGAAAAACGGTGGGGCTGCTCAGAGATCCGGTGTACCGGAAACCGGTCAATCGGTAACCGGTTTAACCGTTTACCGACCGTTTACCACCCCTACTACTTGGTATTTTCAATAATTGGAGGTGGTTAGAAAAAGATCAAGAATGTACCTTAAATTTCTACATGTTCCCCGAAAGGAAAGGAAGTCTGAAGTTTGTATACATCTGTTGTACAATTATGTATTTAAATCAATTATTAATATCGAGTCTTGTTTAGGATCGTAATATAAAACTTTTTCATCAAAACACTTTTGATATCATACCACAAACCAATTATCTTAGAAACTCGAGTTAGTAAAATAAAAACTCGATTTAATCATATATCATTATTTTACACAAAATAATAGTTAGTATAGAATAATTTGGGAGTTGCTAAAGGTCGCCCTTAAAATTGCTAAAGGTCGCCCTAAAAAATATTAAAGTTACACTTATAACCCTCTATCTTCTTTACCTTCCCTTTATCAAACAAACACCTTCCCTTTATCAAACAAACACCACTTGGACTAAACAAACACTATTTAAGGAGAGAAAAATCCATCATCGTCATTTTGAAGCCGATATCGTCGGTAGGACGTCTGAATCATGAGTAGCGACTCCGACGAGGTAAATACATTAACTGAAAAACTAAAAAAAAAATGGGAATCGCGGGTCACTTGCGGTTGCTTGCGGTCCAGCCATGGTCCAACCACAGGTCATTTGCGGTCCAGCCATGGTCCAACCGCAGGTCACTTGCGGTTCAGCATTTTATGGTTTTTTTTTTCAAATCAGTATTTTCTATTTTTTATATGATTTATGATTTGTTCCATGAGATAATTTGTTGGGTTTTGATTTATATAATTTTCTAGATTTATTTGCATAATTATTTTTGGAATTGAAGGATTTAGCATTAGAAATTAAGATTAGATTTGGCCTTAAATTAAGATTAGATTTAATTTGGTCTTAATCTAGAAAATTAAGATTAGATTTTGCATTACAAATTAAGATTAAATTTATTGCATAAATAATAGATTCGCATATGAAGTTATGATGATTATTAAATTTAATATAGTTATGAAATTTTAAATTTATCATATGGTACTCGTTAAATTGACGACATAGAATGTTAAGTTTTTTTTAAATTTGTGGGGTATCACTTATAAATTCTGATAACATTGCAGAATATTGGAAGTTACAATCCGGATGGCCATGATTATACCTCGGATTTCATTGATGGCGTGAAATACACTACGGAGTTGCAAGCATATGAAGCAGCTACTGAGATTGCCAAGGGTTTAGGGTTTTATTTGGTGAGGGCATCGAACAAAAAAAAAAAAGAATGAAGGTACTTGGCGACATTACTTACATTGCTCTCATGGTAGGAAGAAGAAGTCGAAGGAACCTGATCCGAGTAAGGAAAGGAGGCCTCTTACATCTACTGAAAAGTTGGGGTGCGAGTTTCAGATCAAGTTTGAGCGGTCAGGTGATGGATATTGGTTGATCCTAGGGGTGGCAAATATAAAGAATCCTGGTGCTAATTTGGGTTTCCACAATCATCAGTTGTAGCTATTTCCTGAGGGATCAAAGGGAAGGAATGTTTTGACTACAGAGGATAAGCAATACATCAGAGAGCTGAGATCAGCCGGTGTCCCACCAAGGAATATCCACAAGGCAGTGAATGAGAGAAAATGTGCAAATGGAACACACAACAGAAAGCAGATTTATAACGAGTTGCAAAAGATAAGGAAAGAAGAGCTTGGTCAGATGACAACCTTACAGTATACTTTCCGCGTGGCGCAGGAGAAGGGTTACTATGTGCAGTATATGGACGATCGTAACGTGCTTACACACTTGTTCCTAGCCCACCCTGAGTCAGTAGTAATGTTGCGAGCTTGGCACCATGTGATCGTGATAGATGCAACATACAAGACCAATAAGTATGATATGCCTTGGGTTGAGATTGTCGGCATGACACTAGTGGGATTGAACTTTGTCATTGCATCTGCAATAGTGTACGACGAGACGAAGGAGTCGTACCAGTGGCTTCTGACGCATTTGCACCATCGGTCAATCGCCCTTTGACCGCGGTCAGCCGTTGGTTCAACCGCACGTTGACCGTCGGTCTAACCGCGTGTTGACCGCGGTCGGCCGTTGGTCAAACCGCGGTTTGACTGCGTGGGATCTGGGCGCGATTTACCTTCTTCTCCGGCGATTTGGGCGGCGAGCAAGGACGGCGGCGACGAGGCTGCCGCGCGACTTCTTCTTCTCCTGCGGCGAGGCTGGCGCGGGCAAGGAAGGTGGCGACGGTCACTGGCGCGCGATTCCTTCTTCTCCGGCGCGCGACACCTTCTTCGGCGACGGGAGCGACACGGCGACAACGACAGGAGCAGGAGGCCGGCGACGGGAACAACAGAGGGGGAGGGGTTCGCCGGCGGCGACTCGTTGCAGAGGGTGGAAGGTGTTTGTGGATTCGTCTGCTGCCGCTGGAGAGTAAAGGTAAAGGGTTGTTTGGTTGTCCTTTTTTTTTCAATTTTCATTAAGGGTATATAGGTAATTTGATATTTAAGTTAGCGCGACGTTTAGCAATTCTTAGGGCGACATTTAGCGATTCAGAATAATTTTGATGAGGTGTGATGACTGATGGCCAAATTAGACCACATAAATAACTTTGGAATCATTTCGGGGGAAATGTTTGCAAACAAGGGTGCCAAATATTCTTTTACTTTTGTTTGCCTCCCTCTCTCTATTTCTCTTATTAGAATCAACATTTGTAAAATCGTATTGTAGATTGCATCGAAAAAGTAAATGATAAAGTATTTTGTGCTAAAATTGTGGTTTAATCGTAATTCGAACGTTTCATACCTGCTAAAAATCACTTACCTACTTAGTCTCCAATAAAATTTTCCAACCGAACCACTTATACTATACGATTTTACAAAATCGATTGAAATGCTTAGTGTTGATTTGTCAAACCTCTTCCAAACCCCTTCTTCTTTTCTTTCTTTCCATCTCTATACTCTCCCCCTCCTTTTTCCTAAATCATAATTACAAACCATAAAAGTGGCAATCCACTCACCAAAAAGTTCCATTCAAACCCTAACTTCCCCTTCCCCTTTCATCTCCAAGGCCTTTTCCTTCCTAATCTTCCCCGTTTCCCCTCCAGAGTTATAAATAACTCTTCTTAATTCTTTCCTTAAGTACAATGGCCGAAGAGGATCATCAACTCTACTTCCACCACCACCGCTACACCGGCGCCGGCGACGACGCTGCTCCCGTTTTCCCCAACTACCCATCTCCCCCCGCCGGCGGGTCCCTCGTCGACAAAGCACCACCACCAGCTTCTACTCCATACAACAACATGAGCCTCACCGACTGCCTCCATGGATCCGCCGATCACTACCACTCCCTCGCCAAAGCCTTCGCCCTCGACGCGAACCCATCGCCGTCGTTATCCTCGAGCGAAGTGGAAGATCATCAGGCCGCGGCGGCGGCGGCGGCGGCGGTGGAGGACGATGGAAGTAATAATATTAATTGTCCTGACAACAAGAAAGAGTAAGAGAGATCTAGCTTCATTTAATGATGGGTTTCTTTTTCGGTTACAGATGGAACAATTGCATGGTTTTTTTTAATTAGCAAAATCTGAGGGGTCAAAATCAATTGTTTGTTTGTGATTTTTTTTTTTTTTTTTTCTGGTGAAGGAAGAGTACTGGCAAGGGGAAGAAGGTGCAAGCTGGGAAAGGGGAGAAGAAGAAACGGCAGAGAGAGCCGCGGTTTGCGTTCATGACCAAGAGCGAGGTGGAACATCTTGAAGATGGCTATCGGTGGAGGAAATATGGCCAGAAAGCTGTCAAGAATAGTCCTTATCCCCGGTATGTCTTTATCATCTCTGTTTTCAGACTGGATGTTGAAAGATAGTGGTTCATGGTTCAATGATTCATCGTTATATAATTGTTGATTAATTATTTGTAGAACTATTTATACGATAATCCCGGCCTATAAAATATAAGAAATGTATAAGACACCAATTTAGGACTCGGTAATTTTAAATCCATAACATCTAACGTGAAAACTTATGACAAATCATTCAAAAATACGCACAAAAGAAATTGTACTAAAAAATATATATATAATTTTTAATCAGTAATTAGGGTGGTAATCGGTAGTGGATTGCATAAATCCAGTAAGGAGGTAGAGATTGAAGAACATGAGGTACAAGTAAAAATGAGCAGCTAGGGTTAGATGGTCTCTGTTTACATTATAGTATTATTTTTTCTTAAAAAGTTTGGTTAAAAGAGTGAATTAATGAACGTGTCGAATCAGAGTGGTTCATTGGGTCCAATATTGTCCAATTGTAAAAAATATTTGGTTCGTCTTAAGTCATTCAATTAAAATGAACTGGACAACTATTACAACTGATTTGAGTGTCTTCTACCACAAAGGTTGATTCGGTCTCATTCTCATAACAATGAACTTATTATAAATAAATAATTCATGTCTAATATATATAATATAATTCTCCCCTTATTATCTCTTGCTCTACGCGATATCTAGCCAACAAGGCAAATAATATATGCATATGGTCAAGACTAGTGTAGTGTGAACTCAACCCCATTGCTCTCTCATCATATTCTCAAACATTGACTATGATTACCTAAAAGGTCGAGCAAATTCACGTAGGGGTCGTTTGGATGAGGAATTCTAATGGATCAATCTGACATAATTGTCTCGTTTTGAGTCAATTGTGCTACATTGATCCGTTTGGCAGCAGAAAATTTGGATGAAGCAATTTGGGCTGGGGAATTCTGAATTGACTCATTTTGAGCCAATTACAATTGTCTGGGGTGGGGGCAGGTAATCTGAATTGACTCGTTTTAAATGACTCGTTTTGTAAAATGAAACAATTGGTCAAATTGTCTCGTTTTACAATTGATCCATCCAAACGAACCCATAATTAATTCCACCCTATACCAAACACCTCATAATTTCCCAAATTAACTAGTTGACTATATACTAAAAACTTATATATAATTGATGACCTAGCTAGCTAGCAACAACTACACATGCATCACAACATTCACATCACCTTCTTTATTCAAAATTTGCGGCCAAACGGAATTGTAGTTCAACAATAACATAATAGGAGTGCAATCCCCCCTAATCTGAGTGTTTGAGCTTCAAGTAAATTTATTAGTACATAGTGAATATACAATTAGGTGCACCACCTCTTCATTATTAGTCTTTCTAAATAAATCGAGTTATTGGAACCTGGTAATTCTTAACATGGTATCAGAACTTTTCCGTGAACCAATAGTCTTCTGTTCGAATCCCGACGATTCATATTTATTAAGTACACGACACGGTATTCGGACCCTGTGCAAACTTCAAGCACATATGAATTGATTTTCATTTGTATGGCGGGTTAGCATGCGGTACGTATATGATTTCATTATTGAACCTCTCCCAATAACTCGAGTTATTGCTGAGACAGCTGGTTGGTTCTATTGAAACGGTATCAAAGCCTAATCTTTAACCCCTGGAGGTTTTTGTTCGAAATTACCTGGCTCCGATACCATATGTCATAAACCAACCAGACACAATAACTGAATTTATTAGGAAATATCCATGTATAATCATTAACCACTTCCTTACACCAGTTATTGGAACCTGTTAGTTCTTTACATGCACAACCACGGCTAGGAATGGCAATAGGGCAGGTCCGGGGCGGGTTTCTTGGTACCCAGAACCGCCCCGTGGCAGGTCGGGTAATTTATCACGGGTTGCGGGTCGGGGCAGGTCGACTCAATGGGTATGCAATTTATATGAAAAACAATAGAAATCTTTTTATTATAAGACTAAGGAAACAAACAATATTATGATAAATGTAGTTAAATTATTGGATAAATTGAGGTTTTGACTAATTTACAACTTTATTATAGCTAAAATATGATGTAATAAAAGGAAAATCCAAAGTAGTTTGACTAAACTTACATGTAATTTAGACAAGAACGGGTCGAGAATGGGGCGGGTCAGGGCAAGTCAGGTCGATGAGAGTACCCCATGTCCGCCCCGTCCCAAAACAGGCCAAACAAATCGGCCGATCTGGTAAAACGAGTCAGGTCAAAATTGTCATCCTAACCACAGCTTCGTGTACTACTACTAGTATTTATAGTTTACATATTTTGTGTGATGGCAGGAGCTACTACCGATGCACGACACAGAGATGCGGGGTGAAAAAGAGGGTGGAGAGATCATTCGACAATCCATCCGTAGTCGTCACTACCTACGAAGGTCAGCACAACCATCACCTTCCTTCCACCCTCCGCGGCAACGTCGCCGCCGCCTCCGCCGCAATGTTTTCCCACTACTCAATGCTAGCGCCTTCCGTCATTCATAGGCCTACCACCAGCTTCCCAGCCGAGTTCCTGCTCCAACTTTCCTCCTCTCCATCGTCGCCGTCACCGTCCGGCCACGTGGGTTCATTGGTGTACCCGAGGCAGCAGGAGTCCTTCTTCCGACACCAACGTAATAATCAGCCGCAGCGGTTGCAGTTCTCCGGCGACGAAGACTATGGAGAGCACTTCTACTATGTTATATAGTATTGGTGCTTTAATGTACAACTTAAAGTTGTACCATAATATTAAATGTATAAGTTTAGGTCGTACCATAAAGCAATTTGTATCATTATGTTATGGTACAACTTTACAACTTGAAGTTGTACCATCACATAAAGGTACAAGTTCAAGTTGTACCATAAAAGAATTTGTACAAAAAGTATAGGTACAATCTGAAGTTGTACCATAACATAAATGTACAATTTTAAGTTGTACCATAAAGGCAAAAACCTATAGTACCAATATTATATAGCATTGTAAAATTTCTCCGACTATCGAATGTTGCAAGACGTCGTGCCTTCCATGTTCTTTAAACATGAGGCTTAGTTAACTGAGAAGGGAGACGAGATTGAATCTCGCCGTTAGGATTACCATTAATTATAATTTCTGTAAATACTATACAATTATAAGTAGGACAATTTCTTTTTTTTTTATATAGTTTTGTTTGGGTCAACTCCCAGATTGGTGTTAAATGGAGAGGTCAATAATATTATTGGATATGAACGAACAAGGGTTTGGTCTAGTGGAAATGTCACTAGTCTAGAACCTAGAGGCCCCAGATTCGAATCCCTTAAATAGTACCTTAATAACAACAAAATAAAACCTATATCACACTTATCAAAAATATTATTGGATATGAATTCTGATGTACGATCAGTCAACGTCGGAATAATTGAAGATTTGAAGGAATTAATTAGGGTGAGTGTGGTGGTGGTGGGTGTGTATTGATTTCAAGTAAAGCTTGATTGATGCCATCCATCAACGCATAGAATCACGAGGGCCGGAAAAGTTTGACTGTCTCTTTGGGTTAAGGATACGGTGGCCGGAGAGAGTTGAAACGAATATATATGAAGCCTGTGGCCGACCGGCCGGCTATATATAATGATAATGATGTTTGCGGCGGCCAGGCTGTTTCTGTCAACGGAAATAGTAAGTAAGTTGTGAACAGAACGGGATATGTCGACACCCACCTAGGCTATATATAGATTTGACGATTCCGGCTGGTCGTGTCAAATTCAGACTTTTTCTCCATTCCTATTTATCTCTATGCATAGTTCCAACTCCATAATTAGTTAGGCAGGTTAAAGATAGAGCCATAGAGGTGTGTTTCTCAAGTATATGATATTTCAAGTATTTTTAATGAAATATTTCTATATTATATTATAAGTTGAATCAAATATATTTATTTATTGACTACTGATTCTTGATCTTGATGGAATTAGTTTGTTGACCTCGATATGATGGGATACTGCGTGCATTATTGTGATGCGATAATGCACAAAACAAAAGTCAAGAAGGTATCCAAGAATTTGCATGTTAACTACTTGCCACCGAACCAAATCCATTAATCAAACCAACCATGACGGATTTTCTCTCTCTGATAGGGTAATCGTATTCTCTTTTTTCTCTAATATCTCGATAGCAAAACTAATTTCGTTTGTAAACTAAACCCGTATTGTATTGGTACAAGCTCCAGTTCGGTTTTACAATCCTTGATTTCGTTGTTTTTTGCTCACCTAGTAGCAAAACAGGCCTTCAATTTCAACGGGAGTCTGGTTACATACAAACTACTATTATTGCTTATTGTCAGTTTTGTAAATTTCTTGTCCGACCAGGAAAGCTTATGTTAGATAAAAATAAAAACGATGATGATGAGCTAGCTAGGTCTCACAGATTGATCGATGGAGTCGCTATCAAATATACCTAACAAGTAACATCCTCGAAGTGATTGACGGGGAAAGGAAAACAAACAGCAGTCGTCTAGCGACCTATATGCTATATTACATAGCTGCAAATATCTCTACCCTCCAATCCTGTTCAAACATCAGCAGCAGCAGCATCTAGCTTCTATCACTTCAACTAATTTATATTTCTTATCATATAATTGCATCCCATCTACATTTCCCACCAAAATGCCCCCTTGATTGTGTCAATGTTTCTTCAAAATGAAAGGGGTTACTGTGTGCTGTTCTTTATTCAACAATAATGTATGGTAGGGTGAATGGTTACTTAATCTAACACTTTCAGTCATCTCGATAAAGTACGAAAAGGATTCAGGTATTATAAAAAAACAATTCAACATTAACGATAAGTCGTGGTTTGAGGTGAAAATAAAGAGTTCTTGTAAGAACTTTGAATTTAGACGTAACCAACATGAAACAGTGCATAGATAAATTGACCTTTTGGTAAGTCATCACGATTGAGCCAAAAATGAAATAATATAGAGTTAGATTCGGAGTGAAATATATATATATATATATATATATATTTTGATGAGAAAGCTTTTGTGATCTTACCCAACGAATAGAACATTTTAAAAGGAAACATAGTTGAGAGTCAATTTATAAAAAAAAATATATATAACAACTCCCACAGATTATCCTTTGTTATCTATGGTGTGTGCCTGCAGGTTAAAGTCAATTTTTTAAAAAAAATATATACACAGAGAATTTTTTTTAAGTTGTAATCGTTAAATTTTGTATTGTTGTGAATACATGTATTGTCGAATTTGATGCATTATAAAATAAAACGTTTGATATGTGTGATTGTGTATGTCACATCAGTTAAAAGATGCGAGAAAACAATCTCAACTCAACTATCTCAACAATCACAACAAAATATTGTGATATAACAATCACTTATTTTGAGTGATAGTTTCTGTCACTTCACATAAATAATCCATGTATAGTTCCTGCTAAAAAATAAAAATAATATATTCTACACAATACATGTATAGTAACAATCTCACCAAAACAATCGCAACTAACAAACCACCCTCTAGACGTAGAGATGCATAAAAGAAAGTTGCGGAGCCATGAATCACAAACAAGTCAAACCAAGAATGAAAATGGCCTACTAAACATGTTTGGACAGGCTCCCCTAGGCCCTAGCCCAACTGTCATAGAAGCAAACAACAGTGCATAAAACGCGGGCCCATAACTTGGGTTTTGGCCCAGCAGATAAAAAGAATTAAGTGCTTGGGATGTTATTTGGCCTTTCCCTTGCTCGACTTTTTTTTTAAAACAAGAAATCAACCTTCATTCTACTACGGAAAGAGATTCACGGGGGTTACAAATGGAAATCAGAAATTATATTTTAAATACTAATCTAGTTATTTGGAAGAGGAGATCTTGTTTACTTAAGTGAATTGTGATTAAGAATGTGTTTCCTTGCGAAACCAAATATCCACTGTTGGTGTCAAATTTATTTCCGGCGATGTTGATTTGACTGTTTCACTGTGGAAACTCTTACGATGTCGTTTGATCGAATGACACACTGACTGCTGAAATCAAAACGATCGTCAAATATCCACCGTCGGGTGATGTTGATTTGATCGATGCACCTCTTATTTTTGAAAACCAAGACGACGTCAAATATCCACCGCATGGCGATGTTGATTTGATCAATGCACCTCTGATTTTTAACCAAGAACGACTGTTACTCGGTTCACAACTCTCCAAACAATGTTCGAACGAGGATGTTTGAGTTTTTGGGGAATCTACGTTAAAACTACTCCTATGGAGATTCTTGTGGAGAGCTCCGCGACTACGCTACGACTACGACTATGGAGATCCTTCCTAGAATGAGAGCTCCACGAAAGAGATAAAGAAAAGATAAATTTGGAACAGAGTTGTTCTGTGTTGATTTTTGGTTCCCCCTCTTTCCTTGCTTTGGTGGTTTTATTTGAAATCACATGCGTAGCCTTCACACTCTGTGGAACTGCTTACTCAACTGCTTTGTCATGAATTCTCACGTGTCTTCCCTCTTCTTCGCACGAGTTCATCTCTACTCTTGCTTGCGTGAATCTCACGTGCATGAAACAACGTCAACGAGTTTCTCAGCGGAGCTTCATTAAAATAGCTTTGTTATCTTTCCCACGACCTTGTCACCTACAACATTGTTGGAATTGTAACGCCATTGAATCTCACGACATTGCTGAGCTCACAACGCCAGCAACACCGCGGCATTGTTGAACTTGCTATACCATCGACCTTGTAACACTGCAGTGTGGTTACTGCTCGCCATCGCGATGTTGTTGAACTCGCGGCGCCGATGATCACCACGATGTTGTTTAGCTCGCGACATCGTCAACCTCGCGATGTCGTTGTTGAACACACAACGCCGTTTAACTTGCGGCATTATCGCGATACTACTTATCCAGCGGGATCGTTAACCTCACAACGCCGCAAAAACATAGTGTCTAAAATAAATTAATTTAGGTGTAAACACCAACCCACCTCATCAATTTCATCGAGCCATCGACGTTGTTTTGGACTAAACAACGTCACTTTCCTATTCCGCGGCATTGTTAAATTCTTGCGACATTGCTTTTGACTAAACAATGTCGTTTTCTAATCTGCGGAGTTGTTGATACCTCCCGCGGTGTCATTTTCAACTAAACGACACCATCCAAAATAATTATTGAAGATATTAATTAATTAAGCTGACCTTTCTGAGAACTCGTCCATCGCGACATTGTTTTCAATTAATATTGTCGCTCTTGGTTGTTGACTCACCGTCAACTCTCACCCCACGGCGCTGTTTTTAGCTAAAACAACATCGTTTCTTGGTCACGCGATGTTGTTGAGTTTCGCGGCATCATTTTTTATCATGCGACATCGAATTAAATGCCGATACTAATTAATGCGGCATTGAATTCAGGCCAAAATAATTTTGAATGTCAACAGAATGCGACCAGGACAAAGTTGAAATGAAAAGGTACGTGGAGAGGGGGGAAAAGTGAAACGAAATCAAATTTAAAAGGTGCAGACAGGTTAGAGAGCAAATGATCTAATAAGTTCTTACACGACTGCAAATTACTAAAAAATGGAGTTTCTCTCTCCCTCTCTAAGTCTGTCAGTTTCTCTCTCACCATACCTTCAAGCTCAATACCTTAGAGCCTCTACAGCTACCATTCATGGAGCCTTCATTATCCCCAATACATGCCTCTACCGATCAATTAAGAGGAAGTCAGAGGATTAAGGTGGAGCTCAGGAGAAGATACCCAGCATTAAAAAGGAGTCATCTCAACCTACGCTCACGTCCAATGGGAGGGAGGGAAGTACAGGGGAGGAGATAAGAGGAACCACCAATCCGCCGCCTAAACCACCTGAGAAGAGGTCAATCAGCCAGCAGGGGAGTAAAGCGGGGGCTGCAGTAGGAGATCTGGGTATTAAATGTTGGAAGGAAAGGGAAGCAAATAGTTATGG